AAAGATCCACCTTGCCCAAGAAGAAATTGACTTTTTAGGAATGCACTTCGAGTCATGGATCTTATCGGCCTCGACCTCACATTCTTGAAGAACTTCTCAACTTCCCGAGATGAAAATCGACCATCAAGCAGATCCAACAATTTCTCGGGATAGTCGATTATATCGGGGAATTCATCCCTAATGTTGCAAGAAATACAAGTCTTTTGTCCAAGCTCTTAAAGAAGAATCCACCTCCATGGGGATCAGAACAAACCAGAGCTATTAAAGAGCTGAAGAAGATAGCTCAAGCTCCTCACTGCTCACGAAAATTCCAGGCAATGGAAAAAGAATATTGCGGCTGATGCGGCGATGAATGCTTGGGAGCGGTACTCATTGAAGAAGAAAATGGGAAAAGATACTATTGTGGACATGCAAGTGGACAATTCAAAGATGCGAGAAAAACATTATCACACCACGTTCAAGGAAGCCTTAGCGAGTCAAAAATGGCATAAAAAAGTTCGACTTCCATCTTAGAGGATATCACTTTGAAGTTCGGATGGACAACTCTTCATTCCAGAAGATCTTGGAGTTCAAGAACAAGATGCCTCCTAATCCTCAGATTCTTAGGCTAATGGACTGGTTTTCCAGGTATGATTTTCTTGTTAAGCACATTAAAGGAAACCTAAACACGGTTCCGAGACTTTTTGTCTAGACCGAAAAAGAATGTCCAATTAATAGTTGACACTTATAGTCTTCCTCTTATCCTTATGGTCAAACCTCTCTCGAGATAAAGCCAAAGCTGTCAAAATTTATCCACCGGTTTAAACCCAACCACACCAGGTGATATTCTCCACTATGCGAGAACCGAGATATTTTTACTTTTTACATGAAACCCTCGGATACAAAGTAATTTCGGCCTCATCGTTCAATCCTGATATTCCCTTTGGAGGAATTTTTGAACTATTACGTGAACCTGGTTGGGACCTTTGTGAGCCTACCCTTTGGACCATTTGGTGCGATACGGTTCAATACTCCATTCCTATTGCATTAAAGGCTCAAACGACTTACAATATTTTGACACATCAAGTATAAAGACAAATTCCTTTTTTGGACATTGCTCGAATGGTTTTCTCCAATACCCTGGTGGAGACAACGACTTAAGGAGATCATAGGCCGATCAAAGCGAGAAAGGAGTTGCTGAAGACTCTCTCAAGAATTTGACATCTATCTTCATCATCCACAGTCCATACTTCATGAATCCAGTTGGAACCCTTTGGTCAAAAAATGAAGCTTACCTATGGGCTAGCTTTGACACCTATCCACTTGATAACGATTCTGAGTGCACTAGCTGGCGCATCACCTTTGTGAAATAAATCATTATCAACCAAAGCCGGTAGACCCCAACATTGCCGACTCATCCCGGAGACCATCGACACATACCAGTTGAATCAAATCACTCCAGAAGAAGACAAATCCCAAGAGATAAGAAGAGCGAGAGATGAACGTCCCGAGATGAAGACTTCGAGAAAGTTGAAGATCTAGCGAGAAGATATCAACGAAGATCTGATGGAAGAAATGTTAATGCATAAAAAGATGTACCCTGCTGGGACCCATTACATGGAAGCATGACAAGGAGTGAAGCACAACGGATGAACTACTCGAGGCTCCACCGATCTGACTAAAGTAAAGGCTTTAGTTAATGGCATGTCATTCGACATGCTACTAAAGCAAGATTCCCTTATCTTTACACGTGTCTATTGCGTTTACCGCAAGCGTGTTAATGAAGATAAGTGCGGATCAACTTTACTTTCCATGAAGAGATAAGACATCATTTTCGAATCTTATCTTATCTTTTCTACTTTGTCCATACGTATGACTTTAAATAAAGTGTGAATCATGGTGTTTTGTCCTTTGTAAGGCCATTATGATGTGTGGGCCATAGTTTGAATAAGTTACTTCGGATTCCACCTTGTAACATAAGTTTCGAGTCAGAATTTCATTTTAGTTTAGCGAAGCTTTGAATTAG